GCGCGGGCCCGACAGTCGCGCGGCGCGCCTATCCTGAGCCTGCGACCCCCAGCGTGGCAGCGGGCACAAGCAAGCTCCGCCGCACCGTGCCCCCGCGGCCCTGCCGCCGCGCCCCACACCTTCTGGCTGCACAGCGGCGCGAGCCGGCTGGCCGCGAGGTCGAACACGTGCGCGCGGCCGTCGTCCGTCACGGCCGCCATGACCGTGCTCGAGTAGGGCGCCCATGCGGCGTCTCCGACCGCATCCCCGAGGTCGAAGCTTAGCACGGGCCCCGCGGGCCCCGGCCGCCGCGCGTCCCACACGCGGAGTGTCCAGTCGGCCGAGGCGGAGAGCAGGACCTAGGAGGATTGCAGGGGTGTGCGACGCGGGGGCACGGCGTGCGTCCCGCTTGCTAGTGGCCTGTAGGCTCGAGAAGCGGGAGGAGCGAGGGGTGGCTGGCGGCAGGGGTGGCTGCGTGTTGCGTGTTGTGTGTTCTGGGGGAGGGGGGGTGAGGGCACACCTTGGGGTGGAGGCGGTTCCAGCGGGCGGCGTACGTCGCCATCGTGTGGCCGGGGTAGGTGGCCAGGTACTCTGACGAATAGGCCTGGGGGCGGGGAGTTTGTTTTCCCAGTCATGAGGAAATCACCATGTCAGACGCTGAGGGCGGCAGGGAGGAGGTTGGAGATTGGGACCCTTGGGGGGGGGCAGCATCAAGCTCATGCAAGGGACGCACAAAACGCTGTGCAGGAGAGAGGGGCGCCCAGCCCCTAGGGCTGCCCACGTCTAAGACAAACAGGACAGAAATCCAGAGGGACGCTTAGGACGAGACAACAGCAGGGGCAGCGACAGCAGCGCGGCGCTGCAGCACGGCACGACGCGGCGAATCGAGCCGCCCCTGCGGCCGAGGCGCGTTTGGAACGCGCGGGCGCGCCTTGGAGCACTGCACGATGCCGCCCTCCTCGGTGCCTATGACGTAGACGTGCTCCTCCCCCGCCGCCTGCGATTAGCGGGAGCCGCCATTGCGAGCGCGGGCCGCGCCTGAGGGCCCTCGTCAGCCAAACAAGAGGCCCTCTTAACCCCAGACTGGCGCCCCGACGACGGCAGCCGTACACAATCAAGTGCGGGCGCCTCTTGCGTCATACCAATACTTTTTGCCGCCCGGCATGTCCTCAGAGCCATCCATCAGATGACCGACAGCCCATCACAGCCCGTGAGCCCCCAACGCACCCAATTGAAGTCCATGCACACCCCTCCGACC